GATGTACCCCCTTAGATGCATCACTGCCAACTTATTGATCAAGATAGTTGTGTGTGTGTGTGTATGTGTGTGCATGTTCCTAAATTATATGCATTTGTTCAATTGGGAGTTAATTCAAAATAGCTCTTCAGCCTGGGTCATGGAAGGATGGTCCTGGGGTCCCTTGTGGCTTTGTAAGTACACATATTTAACATGCCCACTTTAACATGCCTAGAGTCCCACTTCTTTAAAGTAAGCGGTTTGCTTTTCTGTCCCATGCTAGCGTGGAAAAGACAGCAAGAGACCATAAGCATTGCCATGCTGGGTCACACCAATGGTCCCTCTAACCATGTTCTGTCTCCGAGAGTGGCAGAGGAAGAGTATTGACTCAGATCTCTCTATCCCCTATTCAGTACTCTCCCTGGCCCCCAGCATTATAGGGATCTTACAGAGACCATAAATGAGATGTTATTTAACAAAAGTACGGCTTCATTACATGCCGGGGCCTGGTTCCCAGGCAGCTTCAGCCTTCCTCGCTGCCCCTTTGCCTCACCCTCTGGAGGGGAGAGATTTGCTGTGATTGGGGACAAGGCCTTTCAGGTCCCAGAGCCCCTTTTCATCCAGGTTAGGTCCAGATGGTTCACATCCTTTCTGCAGAGCACATCTAAGACACGGCCTTTCCCCTTCATCCACAGAGCTACCGCTCTCATCCAGGCTGCTGTCACGGCACATCTGGAAGATCACAACTCTTGTCCCTGTGACCTTGACACACGTGCTCTTGTCCCGCTATGCACCCACTGAGGATGCTGCTGCAAAGATCCCAGCCTGATCCCTTGCTCTGACTGCTTCATCCTGGCTGTGCATCCTGCATCCCTCCCTCCTTAATTGCACAACTTGTCTTCACACGAAAGGCCTTTCAAAGCCATTGCATCTGTTATCTGCCATTCGCTCTGATCAGACCGTGGTGCCAGCCTCAATGGCCCAGGCACGAAACATTCAAGCCAGCACTTTCTTTCTCCATGCTGCTCTTCAGGCGGCTTCCTATGGTCATCCACCGATTTGATGCATCGTCCTTCTGCCGGTCTCTCCTTTGCACTCTACTGTGCTTCGTTTCCCAAATAACTTGACAGTAATGAGGCTGCTGATTGCAGAGGCCCCCTTCCCATCATGGAAACCACCGCTGTCTTGTCGCTTCCCTGTCTGTCTCCATCCTGTTACCTTTCATCTTGTCTTATTGCCTTGACTGAGAGCTCCTTGGGGGCAGAGACCAGCTTTTTGTCCTGTGTTTGTACAGCGCCTAGCGCAGTGGGCTTCTGGTCCCTCCTGGAGAACCCAAACCACGACAGTAATCCAAATCCACCATGCCTGCTCCTTGCTGTCCTTCCAGACTGAGAGTGATGCTTGCTGTTTGGGGAGGTCAGGAGGAAGCCCACGTGGATGGAGCTGCCTCGGTCCCATGCAGCAGAGGATTTCTGTGCCCCAGGCTGGTTGCCAGCGCAGCCCTTTGCAGCTCAATGGCAATAATGGTGCAAAAAGAGCTGGTGGAAGCAAAAGCATTGAAGCCGCATAGTTTCATCTGTTTGCAGTTCAGCATTAATCATGTCCTTTGCCTTTAAGCTGCCTTTGAAGCTGTGCTTGTCACGGTGGGAAGCAAATGGGTCACATTGTTCAGGGTTTCTACTGCTACACGCCGCCTGCTATTTTTCTCTTAGATTATTTGTGTAATCTTTGGGTACAATCTGTTTGCTCTCCGAGTCTCGCGTGCCTGGCCTTACTCTTTCACAACCGGCCGTGCAACTTGCACTGCATACGCCATATGCATCCGGGCGCGCGCGTTAACCAGGCTCCTTCAGGCAGTGGGAAAATATTGAAATAAGAAACATGTGCGTGCTTATTCACAGTGAATCCCACCACAAAGATCTTCACGATCAGCAATTGTGCGGTGCGACTGGCTTTCGGGGAAGGGAGACCTTTGTTGTGTTCAGATGCAGAGAGATACAGCACTTCCTATCTGGTGGAGGGGGTTTTTATTGGTTTTTCCCCTCGTAGGCTGATCAGGCAATAGATGCTTCAAAAAAAACAACACAGCAGGCATCAGGTCGAGTTTCTGCAGCCAAGGGGCTTCTGCGCTGAGCCGAGGGCTGCTTCGTTACCGGTGGTTGCCTAATGTCAGACTCCTAAAACCGTCCTTCTGCACGCGAAGGCACAGAACTGGCGTGATCCTTCGGTGGCTCTGGGAGCCCACAAAGTCCACGGAGGCTGCTGTGCTCGCCCCTTGAAAATCAGGCCACTTTTACCTTGCTCTGTGCCCATCTGTGGATCTAGGGGCCTCACTTCGGACATCCACCCTGGAGGAATTAAAGGCCATAAATTCAGTCCTTGGCGCTGTTAGGAGCAGAGCGAGTCGCTCGGCAGCGTCCTGCCCCTTGAGCGACACGACAAGCTGCCGGACCGCCATGTCCTCACTTACACACAAGCTTGCAAAAAAGCAAGCCCTTTTTATTCCAGCTTCCCACTGTGGCCTCTGCATGCACAACCATGATGGCCTTGGACAGGCCCCTTCCATGGGAAACCCTGGGAAACAGCCCTTTCCGGGGAGCACGTGCTGGCCGAGGTTGCTTGACTTGGGAATGGTCCTGCCTGGAGCAGGGGTTGGTCTAGATGTGACCTCCCGAGGTCCCTTCAACCCTCATTTTCTATGGGATGATGTAGTTGAGGCTGGTCCTGCTTGGAGCAGGGGTTGGTCTAGATGTGACCTCCCGAGGTCCCTTCAACCCTCGTTTTCTATGGGATGATGGAGTTGGGGCTGGTCCTGCCTGGAGCAGGGGTTGGTCTAGATGTGACCTCCCGAGGTCCCTTCAACCCTCATTTTCTATGGGATGATGTAGTTGAGGCTGGTCCTGCCTGGAGCAGGGGTTGGTCTAGATGTGACCTCCCGAGGTCCCTTCAACCCTCGTTTTCTATGGGATGATGGAGTTGGGGCTGGTCCTGCTTGGAGCAGGGGTTGGACCAGATGTGACCTCCCGAGGTCCCTCCAACCCTTGTTTTCTGTGGGATGATGTAGTTGAGGCTGGTCTTGCCTGGAGCAGGGGTTGGTCTAGATGTGACCTCCCGAGGTCCCTTCAACCCTCGTTTTCTATGATCCTATGACTTAACTGCTTGAGGTTGCATCTTCAAAGCAGCTCCCCAGGGAGAGGAGATGCCTTCCTGTCCTCTTCCCGAAGAGGACACGGACTCATGGAGGGGCTGAGTGGCTTGGTCAGGGGATCAGAGCCAGATCTGGCAAATGAGCCCGCCTTACCCCATCCCAAAACTATCACAAAAATGCTGTCTTTGGCTGCACTACCCAGAGAGAAAGGGACTCCTTTAAGCAGATGGGAAGCGGTCGCATTTCAAACGTAAGGGGAAAGAGTGGGCTTGGGGGGGTGGAAATCAGGCCCTGCGTTGGGATGTTAACAAAGCCAGTTGAGAAGTGTTTGCATAGACACTCCATTACTCTGTGTCCAAATGCCTCATAAAAATAATACTGGCTGATCACAGAACTGCACGCCGGGGAGAATAAATTCTTCTGCAGAATATTCCCTCTGGAAAAACACTGTGTCAAGCAATACACTAATGGCTTTCAATCTCGTGTTGTGTATATATAGATATTAACTGCTCCCCAGGCGGCGTTTCGTATTACAGTAATACCGTGCAAGCATCGCGGAGACCACCGAGCGCTTTTGGCCTGGGCCAGGCAGAGAGGAGGGGGGCGGCCTCCCTCCTGACCGTACCCCTCCACCTGCTGAGTCCTGACCGCGAGGTGCAAGGTCCAAAGATGAAAAGACACAGTAATTCCCCTCTTGGGGAGCTGGAAGTACAGGCCAGATCCAGCCCGAGGCCCTGCCTTGTTCTGTTATGTGCCCATTTACTCTCTGGCAACGGGGACTTCTAACCATCTTGAATTTTCCCAGAGCATGCTGAAGGGCCTTTGAGCCTGAAAGCTTGCAGAAAAAGAGATTTTTAATTTTTTTTTTTGTGATTTCCTAATAAAAGGTATCATTTCTGCATCGAGAGTTTTAGGTTTTGCATTTCTTTTTGTCTGAGACCAGCCCGGCTACCAAATACATCCCATTTACTCTCTGAAGGTGTCTCCTGCATTGCAGAAGTTAATCAGTCTCAATACTGACTTGGGCTAGAAGGGCAATCATTCCTGGCCCAGGATGAATGGCATCATTCAGGTGGAGGGCGGTTGCAGAAATGTGCCCATAGAGGACTGCTTTGAGCTCCTTCTGTGCTGTCACCTTCTTCTTGGAGGTGGCCTTCCCGCTTGAGCTGAGCAGCCTTCCCCTCTGCCCCCCATCCCTTTCAACCATGTCACCCACAAAGCAGTTGAGCAAGAAGCACCGAGCCTGACCCAGGGTGTGTGTGCTCGAGCACATAGGTATTGTGTGGTTGAGTTTGTGCAGCGCTATTTCTGAAGACCTCGTCGAGGTCATCTGCACACAGATGAGCTGTCCCTGATTTGCTGCTCCCGAACACCGCTGTGCATGCACATGCTTAATGTGGAGTAAGAATGAGTGCGTGCAGATGTCAGTGTATTCAGGAGCAGGCGTTGCACTTTGCATTCTCACCCTTCCACCACAATCTGTATTAGCCTTCAAGTGTCAAGAAGCCCTTGTTGAGTGACACCATGTGCCGTTCTCCCATGGGAATGCGGTGAGCTGGTGTAGACTCAGCGGGTCACTTTGCAGAGAGCACAAAACAGCTCTCCGTCGGCACGGAGGGATTGCTCCATTGCCGAGGGCTGGATTTGATGTGGTGACGCAGAGGACAAAGGCACCATCATCTGCTGACCAAGCCCAGAGCACCCCCTCCTCCCAACATGTAGGCTGGGATGATGGAGTTGGGGCTGGTCCTGCTTTGAGCAGGGGGTTGGACTAGATGTGACCTCCCAAGGTCCCTTCCCACCCTTCATATCTATCCGTTGCTGTCGGGCACAGGGATCGAGCATGACATGGTGTCTCTTCTTTCCTCCCCAGGCCGTTGCGCTCGTTGCGGCGAGAACGTGGTGGGGGAAGGCACCGGCTGCACCGCGATGGACCAGGTCTTCCACGTGAACTGCTTTACCTGCATGACATGCAGCAGCAAGCTCCGGGGCCAGCCTTTCTACGCGGTGGAGAAGAAAGCTTACTGCGAGCCCTGCTACATCGTGAGTACCGTGGCTGGCTTGTGCCAAGGCAAAATGTCTGTCGAGGTTTCCTGCCAGGCTTAAAACTGAGCCAACCCATTTGGATACAGAGAGGACTAACCCACCTGCGCTCTTCACCAAAGTGTAGCTTTTAACCTGCCAGTCGTTCTCGGGGTCCAGCCAAGCCCTGGAGTGAACGTGCCAAAATACAGAAAAGGCTTTGTTTTATGATAGTCTCAGGCCTTGTCTGGACTCACCTGCCTCTGCTCTGGCAGCATCTCCGACTGTCCGGCTGTCTAAGCACGTGTCCTTCTAGCAGTGCCGCATGACCCCATTGCAGCAGCAGTGGCCCTAAAAGCAGAAGTGCATTCTGGGAAGGCACTAGCCCCTGCTACAGCTAGCAGAAGGCGCGCAAGTCTCCAAACCCATCTTTTGCCAGCTGCTGGATGGCGGGAGCAGGCTTATTCCGCTCAGCAGAGGTGATGTGACTTGGTTGGCAAAAAACACGAGGTTTTCACTGTTGCAGAGGGGCGTGGAGTGTGCACGTAGCCTCACAGTGGGCGCATTTACACGTTCATTAATGCACCTTAGATACTGCACGTTTAGTTTAGGACTTGCTTAATAAAGTACTAACTAAATGCGCAGTAACTAGAGCTACTGCACGACAGTGCCGACGCACACTTACTTTGGGATGCTTACTGTGCATTAGCCTAATAACGCTGTGCAGGAGGCTATTAGCATGATTTTTTTACCACTGCACTGTTAGGCTAATGTGCACTCGTGCCGCTGCGCCCAGTCGGGTGGAAATGGAAATAACGGCACTCTTAGAAACCAGCCGTATTTTGGAAGGCTTTACAGCCTGGGAAATCTGACTCTTGTAAGTCCTTGAGCAGGCAAGACTCGCGCAGAAGGAAGCGTGAGATGACGCATGAGGACATAAGTTTGCAAGGCAGCTTTGCAATGCAGTGCAATGCAGCATCTGTGGTCTGCAGTGCATAGCAAAACCTTCAACCCAATCCGGGAAGGCAATGGGAGTCCTTCCTCTGAGCTCCAGGGCCTTGGCATCAGGCATCTTTCGAGGTTCACTTCTCATATCTTAACATTGCATTTGGATTTCGAGAAGTATCTAAAATCAAATGACCAGTGGCTGCAGGGGAGCTGGACTTTTAGGGGGCTCCTGCAAGAACTGGCTTCCCGGTTATCACAAATGAATCAGCCTCTTGGTATTTTGGCAGTATTTTATGTTGATCCCTCAGTTCAGAGTAAGGAGAAGTGCAGCCGGTCACGGACGGTGTCAGTGGGCTTTCTTTGTCAGTCTCTAAGTTTGAGATGCCTTTGTACCGTCGCTGTCTTTTATCAAACATTGGAGAAGCATATTTATTCTTGGGCAATACAGATTGGGGGCTCCGGTCATGTAGTAACAAAATCTCCACCACAGTTTGGGGTTTCCCATGCAAAGTGCTGAAAGGGGTGAAGTCTAGCACGCTGGGGGCCGAGGAGGAAGGAGAGCCGAGGGCCTTGCCGATGAGGCCTCTCTGTTCCACATGCTGTTTGAATCTCATTTATAGCTTTTAAAAGTTTGAATGCCGTTCCCTGAGGACCGGCTTTCATTGCTATTCAAAACATTAATTCCCAAGCGTGGTAACAATCTCTCATTATTCCTTGCCTTTGCTGCCTGGCATTATTGCTGAAATACTGAATGCAATAAGGGCAGGTTGTGCCTTATATACAGTGTCAGCAGTGGCTGGTCTTTGTTAATTGGCCCTTAAAAACAAAACTGAGTTTGTGACGGAAGATGTGCTTTTGAAACCATTTTCCCCCCTTTTATTGTAAGCATTAAAATTACTGCGCCATAAAAATTTTAAGGTTAATTTTGTGGCACGTATGGTGGCCGTTGCAAGGGGACAGTAAATCGTTGCAAGGTGCATCGTAATGCATTTGGAGCAAGGTTTTATCGCCTGAAGTTAAATGTCTCATTGACTTCAAGCTGGAATCTACTTTGGCAGCTTGCAGGTTCCTATGTCTCTTTTTGGGGGGTTAAATCATGAACAATTTCTTCTGCACGCATCTGCTTTAGGTTGGGAGAACATCTGCATTAGCCACTGTAATAGCGGGTTAAGATTATTTAATCCCATTACTTACACACTTCATTAGCCTGAGTGAATTGTTGGCGAAGGTTCAGTAAACTTCCTACATTGGAAGATAAAAGGATAAAAGAGAAAATACAAAAGGATTCTGTTCCTCATTTTCTTTCATATTTATCTTCTATCTTTTTAAGGGATAAAGGCATGATAATTGCCTGGCTGCATCTGCGTTAGTACGTTCCGCTATACAGATCTGAGTGCAGCGTAAACTCTTTATAGCTTCTTATTTTTATAGCCAGAAAAAAGTCTGTCCTTTAAACATTCACCTATGCATTGCACAGCAAAGCTGGTTAAGGGCCCGGCACAAAGAAACCCAGGTCTCCTGGTGCTGGGGGGGAAGAAGGGGAGAGCGGTAAAAACAGGAAGGGCTTCTTCTTGTTCTCATGAGACTAGGGACCCTGGAGCTGCAAGTTCCTTCAGCAAAGCCTGTCAACCCTTAACGTCGACCCAAGGAGCCAAGATGGGGAGAGGAAATCTCACGAGCTGTCAGCGAGACTAGAAAGTGCATTTCTGTCTTTGGAAATTATGAAATGGGCTCCTAAGTCACTTAGTAATTTGGAGACTTTAATCTTTCAATACCTTCTTACGCCCTGTTTAAGTCAGCACTTGAGGGCTTTGCAAAACTGAGGGATCAAACTCTTGGATTTTCCCTAAATCCAGCTTTCAAAAAGGCCCTAGTCTTACTAATAGTCCATACAGCCAAGGCCAAACTTTTGGGTAGGCGTGCCACAAATGAAGCTCCACATCTTCTCCAAGTGCCACTCTGATCTCCTGCCCCTGGTTTCTGTTCCCTGCCTGATGTGTTGCTCTGCTTTCTGCTCCTGGCCCTATCTGCCACTGTATGGCCTGCCCCGCTCCCCAGTCTGCTCCATGCCACACACGCAGGCTGCCTCTGCCACTTGTGGCACCCATGCTACAGGTTGGCCACCCTGGTCTATAAGCTGCAAAGCTCCCAGACTTTGACTATAAGCCCTTATGAAAGTTTGATTCAGGTTTCTAATTCACCTAGGTTCCTCTGAAACCTTGTAGGTTGCCAAGCTCTAAGGTAGTAATGAATAGCTGGGTGTCTAGTTGGCAGCCAGTGTCAAGTGGAGTGCCCCCGGGGTCGGTCCGACAGCTGGTTTTGTTCAGTAAGTCCATCAACGACCTGGAAGATGGGATGGATGCACCCTCAGCAAGTCTGCAGATGACACCGAGCTGGAGGGAGTAGTGGATACACTGGGGGCAAGAATTTACAGACCTAGACAAACTGGACCAAAAGAAATCCATGAGGACAAGTGCAAAGTCCTGCACTGAGGAGGGAGCAATCCCCTGCACTGGTGCAGGCTGGGGGTGACGGGCTGGGCAGCAGCTCTGCAGAGAAGGACCTGGGGGGACAGGGGACAAGAAGCTGGACAGGAGCCAGCAGTGTGCCCTTGGTGCCAAGAGGCTACCAGCATCCTGGGCTGCATTGGGAGGAGCGTTGCCAGCAGACGGAGGGCAGTGATTCCTCCCTCTATTCAGCACTGGGGAGGCCACATCTGGAGTCCTGTGTCCAGCTGTGGCCCCCACTGCAGAAAGGATGTGGACACATGGGAGAGAGTCCAGCGGAGGGGAATGAAAATGGTTGTGGGGCTGGGGGACAGGACTGGTGAGGAGAGGCTGAGGGAAATGGGCTGATTGAGTCTGGAGAAGAGAAGACCGAGGGGGATTGAATAGCAGCCTTCACCTCCCTGCAGGGGGGCTGCAAAGAGGATGGAGCTGGGCTGGTCTCAGTGGGGGCAGATGACAGAAGGAGCAATGGGCTCAAGCTGCAGCAAGGGAAGTTGAGGTTGGATATTAGGAAAAACTTTCTCCCTAGGAGGGTGGTAAAGCACTTGAATGGCTTACCTAGAGAGGTGGTGCAGTCTCCATCCTTGGCGGTTTTTAAGACCCGGGTAGACAGAGCCTTGGCTGGGATCATGTTGGACTACATGTGACCTCCTGAGGCCCCTTCACACCCTCATTTTCTGTGATTCTGGGAAAGTCTTGTCTTGAGTCCAGATAACTGAACCAGGCTTAGAAAGCAGAGGTCTGATTCCCAGCTGGCATAAATCAGCGGAGCACAACAGAGCTACCCTAATTTACACTGCCTGCCATTGTGACCCCAGAAATTCTTGTCGCTCATCCCAACACTTACGTCACTAAAACCAGCTGCCTCATAAATAAGAAGACAAAAAGGTGTTTGGCTGGTTTAGATTTAGAGCTCGTGAATTTTTTGCTCTTCTAATAGTTCCCTTTGGGTGACCCTCCGTGTCTGCGCAGATAGGTCATCGGCAACAACCAAACAGGCTACAAAAGTTTCTAGACAATTAACAGTTGGCAGACATTCCTCATCGTTGCGTTTCCCATCTCGTCTTGGAGAGAAGCCATGGTTAGGTTGCAACGAAGAAGGGCTTGCCGAGTAGTCAGCAGTGAGGCCAAATAGCCTATGACCGTATTTTTTTCTGGGTTTATAAATAAAATAATAGACAATGAGGGCTGGAAGGGCCCTCAGGTGGTCACATCCAGTCCAACCCCCTGCTCCAAGCTGGACCAGCCCCAACTACATCATCCCAGCCAAGGCTTTGTCTCCCTGGGTCTTCAAAACCTCCAAGGATGGAGGCTGCACCACCTCTCTGGGTGACCTCTTCCAGTGCTTCATCACCCTGCAGGTGAGAGAGTTTTTCCTAATATCCAACCTCAACTCCCCTTGGTGCAACTTGAGCCCATTGCTCCTTGTCCTGCCATCTGCCCCCACTGAGACCAGCCGCGCTCTACATCTATTTCCGGTTAGTTGAAAATACCGAAATAGAGTCTGACCCCTAGTTTCCTGGAGTCATTTGCACTGTATTAAAACCCCACGTTGTCCTCACCGTG